TACATTTATATAAATAAATCTGTTCTGTGTCGGATAATATAGGTATTAAATGATCCTATAGTATCTGTGTTATCCTGAATTAGCACCCAAGAACCTTTACTGCTGTATTTTAACTACATCTTAAGCTGTATCATTCTTAAACATTGAAAAATAGAAAGTCACTTTAATGATACACCCATATTGAAAACATATTGATGAAATATTTTTAATTCTAGCATGTTATTAACATTCCTAATGCATCCATTCCAGGAGGAATAGCTTGAGTCTATGAAAATAAAAGAGAAATAGACCCATATACAGTCGACCCCCCATAACACGGGTTCCTATAGTTCGGATTCCTATATGATGGCGAGAAAATTGCAACGGTATTCGTACAAACATGGTAAAAAAAACTACTATAATTCGGTAAAACGTCATTGGACAGCCGAACTACTTTTTGCCATCCAGCGCCACGCTACAGAGTTTAGGCGAGTAAGTTGAGTTTACTATTGTCTGTACAGTATGTAAATTAGGTACCATAAGTCTAACACAGCACTAATTTTATACATTTCTTGTGAAAGAAACATTTCTTATTCAACGGCCTTAAAAATTATTTATATTAATGAAAATAATTTATCAGAAATTGCGCTCGCCATTTGGTGCTGCTCCGCGACGAAAACAAGCTTAAGCAATGGCGACGTTGAACGGTGCACACTCGGGTAAGTAATCCTACAGTTTTTTGTTTATAGCATAGTTTATATGGATTATTCCCAAAAAAATATACGTATTTTGGAAATGTTGAGTCAAGTTAGTCTGGGAATCGATTAATTTTATGGAAGAAAACCTTTCAAATAGCCATAGTCCGTAAACTTCACATGTGTCGGGCTGTGATTGGCAAGGTCCCTAAAACATCAATTTCATAAAAAAAAGGAATCTACCTACCATCTTATGGGGGAGGGTCGACTGTATTGACTAATATTTACTGGATTCAATTTACTCAAGACAACTAATTTTTATTTACCATAATAATAACTTATATTTTTACTTCCCAATTCTTACATTTTAATCAATTTTAAAAGCAAAAGAAAGAAAAATTATATGAAAAGATTCACTGACTCTCCAAGTTAACTATTTTCCTGAATCCTTCTACCTATTTTTTCCTTATAACTGTCATTTTAATAAATTATTGAACTGACTTTCCTCTGTACAAAGATAAAGAATGCATTGTACCTGATAAAGAATGCCATCATCTAATACTTGTTTATAGTTATTTTGTTTAAACTTCTTACAATATATTCTATATTATATAATAACAATAATAATAATTTAATTAGTTGTTATATAACATATATTAATCAAAATTTTATGATTAATATAACAGTATGTCCATGCCTGATTCCAAGTAATTTATATATGTAAAATTATGTTCAGGCAAGTAAAAATGAAACAAGGATGTTTAATGCAACAGAAATTTTCAAAACATTACTAATTTTATCTCACCTTTTCTTAATTAATCTAAAATAAATAATAAATATAGAATAAGTATTTAAATATAATTGTTATATATACAAAAATATGGTTATAATTTAGCTAATTACATTATTTAATGATTGAATAATCAATAATTTATTTATTTGTAACAGATGATTATATAATTTTGTCTTTAAATTGCAAAATTTTTTATGCCATATTGTAAAAATGGAAATTTATGCCGATTTCTCATGTAACCAAATGTTTAATTAGTATATTTGATTCCAGTTTTGCTACAAGTGTTTTTTTTTAAACATTTTTATATTTAATAAAACATTTGGTTTTCTGAAATAGTAGTATGAATTTCTATATTTATATAACTTCATATTAATTAAATTTAAAAATGATAAAAACAAGTAGCTTAGTGAAGAATCTGAGCCCATGTCTTTGCTAAAGTCTGGCTGTGATTTGACCATTCTGAATATGCTCTAAGTTGCCAAATAAAGTTTCCTTTCCTTACTACTCAGAGTACCTGGTATGAACAATAAGATCCAATGCAATCTATGTTTAGAGAAGTCTAAATTTAAGTTAATAAGTCATATTCTCATATATGTGAAATTCTGTTCACATTTATATATAGAATTTTAAAATTATTATGAAATACCATCCAGCCACCTGTGGCCTAATTGAACCATGGGCAGAAATTAAAGTTTTAATAAGTCTTTCCATCTTTTGAAAAAGATTTTTCTTCATTTCATCCAAATTATAAAAAAAATTTGATGTTTCTTCAAGATGGTTCACTCCATACCTACATACATTTATGTAGGATGAAAAATAATCTGTATAAAATTTGGAAGTGAAAATTCTCCAATAACCCTGCTATTTACATATTCATTGCATATTGAAAAAAAATTCTACTAGTATTATTACATTCTGTTGTTGAATTATTCTTATCATAATGTCAGATTCTTACGTAACTTTACAAAAATAAAATCTAATAATTCTCATATTAATGAAGATTGAAAAAGGTATAAGATATACATTTACAGTTTAAAAAAAATTTATTTTTTTATCAACATGTGCTTCTTACTCTAAATAAACCCTATTTATGAAAATTTACACACATTTTCATTCTATGAATTAATTCAAGCCATTAGTAACATACCTAGATCCTTTTCGAGCCATGATGTAATCCAATCATTTTTATTTTAATAAAGACCAGAAACCAATTTTAGCTATTATCTTATTTTAAATATTTCACTTGCTCTCCAAAATAATTTTATGCCTAGCCAATAGCATTCTTTGTTGCTAACTGACATCCCTAAAAAAATATCCAGATTCATTTAGATCAATTGGCCATTTCTTCAGCAAGACTAAAATGTTTTGAATCTAGTATGCTTTGACGTACAGTACATATTCTTCTATTACTATTTTCTTTTCAACACTTCAGTATCTATTTTCATTCCATTTTCAATTCACTTCTTAGTAATTAAGCAATCTACAACTCTGAAATATTTATAGTCTGGCTTTTGTTGCCTGTCTGGATGTAAAAAGTATTTGACTCAGTAATCCCAAGCTATCCTCTTTAAAATTTTGGGTATTGTGAATTTAGTCTGGATTCAGTTTTTATTTCATGTTTAATTTTTTGTTTTGTATCTTTTGTATTAAAGTTGGAGATTTTTCCTTTAATGATTTTGCTCCTCTCCTTGGTATTCAACAATGTTCCAAATATTATTAAACACATTAACAACATACATTCCAAGGTATGCAGATGACATTAAAGTAATTAACAACTCCATCATGTTACAAATAGACTTAAATATACTAGTTATTTCCCTAAAAAACTGAACTTTGTAATTAATGTGTAAAATACTTGTTACGCACTTCTTTTTCTTGAAATCCTCCCACTCCAGAATTTTGCTGCTCCATACTTAACATGTAAATAATGAATTTAAGGTTTTTATACTATTTAATAAACCTGTTAATTTGTATCTTTCGCTAATTCTGTTAAAGAGTTAAACGTGTTAGTAACGAATTCATCAAAAAGTAGTAGTCTTGCTCAGTGCGTATGCTCTGCGGTGATGACGTTTCGAACGAAACTCTAACGAAGTTCACGAAGTAAAGAGTTAGTTTACTTCATTAAGAAAAATGGTGCCTGACAATATTGATGTTTCTGAATCTACTCAAGTGTTTAAATTGTGAATTAAAAGGTAAAATGATAGAAATAACTATCCACTCGAAGCAATCTAAGAAAAATATTTTGGATAAGGCTGCACTAGCAACATTCATATCTTCAATTTTAGAAACAGCCATTTAGTTAATGAATCAATCAAAAAGTCTAACAAAATGAGAATAATGATGATGTCATTCTCATTTAACTCATTCGACTTTACGAACATACCCTAAATCTCATGCAATCTTACATTCACAGATCATCACCCAACCATAACCAACATATACAATTATATATCGTGGATGACAAATACATTTCAAAACCTTTTTAAATTTTATTAGAATATTATTATTTTTGTTTGGGACCTAGCTGAGACAAAGTAAATACTTATTTCAGTTAGTGTTCGCTTAGTACTGTATATGTAAGTACACATGTATAATCATTGGCATTCTGCCAATGATTATACATGTATACTTACATATACTGTATACAGATATAAACAGGTGTAAGGAGTCAAGTCCAATCATTATTTTGTTTTGGGCATTATTTTTAGTTATAGTTATTTTCTTTTTGGGTCTTTTCTGGATGGAAACTCCTAAGAAACCCTCAATGTGCTAAATTCAAAAATATGAAAATCTACATTTAGTAATTTATATCTGTCACTGATCCCATGACATGTAGACATGTAAATAGGGCAATGTGAAGTTACACCAATAGAAAGATAAAAGACAGCACATCTGTTCAACTGTGTGGTGTAGCTTTCGACAGTGATATTCATTGAAGGAAATTGTCTGGCATTCTTTGATAAGCAATGAGCTTGTAAGAAGTGTATTCTTTGTTTAATTATTTCTGTGGAGATTTGATTGATTTATACGAAAAATAATTTTTTTCCATTGATTAACTGTTTATTTTGTAAATAACTGATCTTGACTTTTTTTTTGAATATTTGAAATATACTAAATATATACTAATTCATTACTAATTCTTGTTATAATCATTGTTGTTTATATATAAATATTATTTTGGATCATTATATTTTGCTTCCCATTAAATCCAGGACTGGTACTTCACTTTGCACCCTAAACTGTGTAACACTATCTTTTGTTTTGCATGTATCAGCTCAATATTTAAAAAAGAAAAAAATCAAATCATCAAAACAGTCTAACTAAATTAATTAATATGGATTACATTCACATTAATAGTCAACTCCAATTAAGCTTAATTATATATCAAGACATATAGATCTTATCTAAACATAATTTTAAGTCTAGTTTAACATTGGTTTTTACAAGTACTACTAAAGAACAAATTTATCAAAAATTTCTTGAGCAATATAATTTAAATAAGTTAATTCTAGAATACTTTAAGATATACTTACTCTAGGAGGAAGTCGTCTTTTCTCTTTTGGTGGAATAGAATTCATTATTTGCGATCCTGTCGCTATTTCTAAATACAAAAAAAACATACACATATATAATTTCAAAACAAAGACAATATGAACTTGATAATTAATAAATTACTAATAAAAAATACATATCTATCCTTAATAAATTCGCTTTCAATGAAAAATTTCCAATTGGTGTATTTAAAAAAATAAATAAAACTACCTTTTTAGATATGCCAAGCTTTAAACTCATTCAAACTCAAATGTTTTTTATTGGATTCTTAATTGTTAAGTTTAAACCTGATGAAAAGCTATAAACTATAGTCCATTCACTATAACTTTATGCATGTTTCCACAAGAAATAGTTTGCTAAAGGATTACTCTTTCCTAAAAATTCTCTCTGGGACTAAATTTATTTTAATTAACAGACATTCACATTTTTATTGGGACACTACTGTTACTTCTTGAATGAGACAGGTAACAAGGAGGAGATATATTTTGTAGTATACGGTGATGGTGAGGTAACTTCTTCATTTTATATATGAAGTTTCAGAGAACAGAAAACAGCACAAAAATTTAATAAGCATTTTGTGCCTGATATCTAAAAAATTTGCTTTATTCGTTCAATTCAGTTTTATTCTTTATCTACTATTTAAATCTTAACTTTTATCATCATCTGACTTAAAAAATTACAAATATTGTATATGTGTGGATCCAAAACCAATATTTTAGTGTCATTTTCATGTTCAATGCTGAATGAAGTAGAAAGGTAAACAAAGACAGCATTTCTATAAATATTACCCATTCCTCCTCTGAGTCCTTCTAAGTAATTAAGACATCATCTACAATCATACATAAAGATAAAGGATATAGCAAGAAAAGTGGAGAGTTAAAAACATAATTTGTTTTCATTTTGTATACAATCCAAGCTTCCATAGGGAGAATGGAAACTCCTGGCCAAATCAGATATAGCTACAAATACAATTTAATTTTTCATTAAAATTAGTATAAAATTAGCATGTTTTAAAACACTCATATATGTTGGAACACTTTTATTGATGTTTAAGTGCACATTAAATACATATTTGTACTATATGTGTTTTGCTTTCAACTGATTGAAAACTCCAAAATAGTTGATGTTTTTCTGACTGACCAAAATTCCATTCTGTAGTTTTTCAATCACAAAATGATTTTTAAATAATATAAAATGTATATACAGTAATTCAATGGCAAGAGTAAGTGTGTATAAACAAGTATAAGAATAGTATAGAAAGCATTTAAGATCAATGATGATAAACAGTTTGAAAGAAAATACAACTTGTTTTCCTAAGTTGTCTAACGATACAGGATGACTTATTTCTCATGTTACAGAAAATGACATTTGAAATATTATCATGTTTGGAATATTCAATAGAACAACATCTAACAAATGTCACTATGAATTTTTAGTGTCTAAAATCATTGGATGCTGGCCATTACATAAAAGGTAAGTAATGATGATACATCTTGCCAAATGATGTCAAGCTGAAATGTATGAACGACTTCATTCAATGTTAACTGCAAAATTTCTCCAAAAGAATACAAACATTGTTAAAGAAAGCATAATAAATATAACAGAACTGTACTGAAGACTAATATCATTTCTTTTATCTTAATTTTCACTTAACACTTGAACTTTTCATTTTGATCAACTGCTTTCATATTGGATCTACTTTGCTAAATTTATATATTCAAAAAATTAATAAATAGCAATTCTATTTTATTGGCAGCTTTTATTCCCATGAAAAATATATAATTTATATATTATTATTTTTTCATTTAAAAAATATTTTAATTGAAAGTCACTACTTATATTTAAATTTTACTTCATCCACACATCAAACAACCACCTGCTTTTGTTCATAGAACTGATTTCAAATTACAAAAGCTATTTATAGTCAAATGATAAATGATGTATGATACAATGCATTTTAGAATAAAAACTCTTAGAAAGTACAGAAATTATATATTAAAAGTTACCTCATGATAAATACTTAAATATCTTTAAAATATATATGAAAACAATATTTTTAAAAATTAGCATTTTTCAGGAGTATGGCTTAAAACAGTGGCAAAAATGTTTACAGCTGCTGCTTCTCCATCATACAAAAGCATAAAAAGATATCCTCTAGCATTTAAAATCAGGGTATCTTCTTAAAAATTTCAATCAAAACACTTCAGAAATTTTGATTACTGAAAGGATTTTTAAAAATACTTTTTACACATAAAGGCAGAGAAACAGTCTCTACAAAAAATTAATTCCACATCTATTTCAAGTATGTTCCTGCAAGTATATGCAAAGGATACAAGGACTCCAATTTTATGGCTTTGCTATTTTTATACATTACATATTTAAAATATTTAACCCAGAATTACATATTTCTTATGTAACTATTTTGTTTCCATCTTTAAATGCAACAGTAGTTAAATTATTTAATAAAAAAATCAACAATACACTATTTTTTTGTAAGTAAACAAATGTCTTGGCTATGGCATTGGCCTTCTTTGGCTTAACCTTAAGGAAGTCTACAACTGCCAGAATGTCGTTTACACGTTGTAATGGGCAGAACTATTTGAAAAAAATAATAATATAAATTTCTCCATTTCTTTAATAACAGAATAAGTAGCCAACTTTGATTTTTATTGCCATTTAGGATGATAGAAGATTTATTAGCAATTCAATTAATAGTATGGAGAAAAAAATTTCATCAGCTGTTTTCAGTAATAAATATTTCTACAACACATCTTTCCTTCAGATAATGTTTTTGTCAAATATATTAATATAATAATTATTACATAAAGTCATTTTAGACATTTATTTCAAACTAACACAGAACAATAATCTGCAACATTATGCCATGTTAACTGCCTATAAACTTAATTAATAATTTGAACAATACGGCATTATTAGTAGGCATGTCATCATCTATTAATTACTACAATGAATTTATAACTAATTAACAAATCAATAGGATTCAGCAGATAATTATTTAGCTAATAAGATCCAAGTTAACAATGATAACATATTTGGTAATAATTAAATAAATTTTAATGTCTTATAATATTTATACAGTCCTAACCGAAATTTTACTATTTCTAAGTATGTATGTAAAAAACTACTGTAGGAAAAAAAAAACAAAATATTGTTTTCAAAATAATTTGGTACACAGATGAGATGTCAAGTAAACATGGATCGAGTCCAGAATAATCAAATACTTGGCAAAGATACCTTCGAAGTTGGCCAGATCAATAAATTCAGTGTTTTAAATACTTCAATTACCATCTTACCTTCGTATTCTATTTACAACTTATAAGTGTTACAAAGTATAATACCTAGCTCTGTAAATTATTTTATATTCGGCTAACATACACGCAAATGTGACTAAATATGATTTAATAAAAATGAAAATATATTAAATGACAATTTCAAATAATAATAATAATAATGATTTAATTTGAAAAATATACTTTTAAATTTGTATTTTTGATAATAATTTCCAATAACTTAAAATGAGACAAGAAGTAAAAGTAGATTTAGTTCAAAACCCTTTCACCTAAATGTAGAACAATAAATATTTTACTTCTAAATTTTATTTAACAAATATAGTTGGAAGTATGAAACAAAACTAAATGGCACTAACTTGCCAGGTCTTAAAATTCTGGTTATCAGATATTGCTATAATAGTCTTTATAACCAAATTTTTATTATAATTAGTGGTAAAAAGATTATCTCAAGTAAAATCTCTCATTTGTTATCTTTTAAAATTTATGTAGAACAAAACTCTACTAATACATTGTATTTTTAGACATTCTCATTAAAATGATAACAAAAGAAAATTACTGTTTTGAGCATTAACATACATTTACTAAACAAAGACAGCACTATTCAATCAACTGCTACTTTACACATCATAATCAGTTTACCAAGAACTATAGAAAAGCTGTAAAATGTATGACTGATCATTTAAAATATACATTATATAATTTTAAAAAGTATATATAACAAACTTATTTTAAATGTTATATCAAATATATTATGAGCAAATTCAAAACTAATTATATCATCACTCAAGAATAGTAATAATATTAGTCATTTCTGGATGATAAAATAACTATATATAAGATCATAGACGAAACATTTCATTTATGCAAATATTTCAAAATAGTTTGTTCAAAGTAGTCACTTAGATAGATCATTTATTTGATAACAAAATAAAGGCAAAACTATTGATGTTTCTGTTGCTAAATAAAATATATTGTAAACTTGTATAATCATTAAAAAATTAATGTAAATGAAATTATTAAGGGTACGGAAGTTTTGTCATGGAATTTTAATTTCGCACATCTCTAATATACTATAAATAAACATAATCAAGACATTCTCTACTTGAAACAAAGCAACCTGATATATATCTTCAATTGTTATGCATATATATAGAGAATTTTGTATAGCAGAGTCTATTCTTATTCAACTAAGTTCTCAAAAAGAATTATATTAAAAAAATATTACAAGTGAATAAACAATTTCTATAAATAAAAAGTTCAGTTTTAAATAAAGCAATTGTTACATTTGTATAAAAGGAGAAAAAAGAGAGACATGGGGCTTTTAAATTACAATAGTTAAAATAATATATGCTAATGAACTATGTTTAAAAAAAATTTATGACAACTTAATATTACATCATTTGAACAGGAATTGGACATGTATATTTCCTTCAAATTTATTATTTTTTATTTTATTAATACTTTCATAGTTATTTTCTAATTATTATTTAGAAAATATGATAAATTATACCATATTACAGTTTTATTTACAATAAAATAGAGAGGTTGAGGCCGAAGTTTTAAACACGAAAATGTGTACATCGGACATTCAGCGCCGCTTTCCTGTAAGCCTAGAAGTTTGACAATGGTGTTTGGAATGTCGAGCATGATTCCACTGACTATCCAAACATCATTGTCAAACTTCTAGGCTTACAGGAAAGCGGCGCTGAATGTCCGATGTACACATTTTCGTGTTTAA